GGGCTCCCTGTCCTGCCGTGAGGCTTCTTTCAGAAACGCCCTCCGACCTGCCCTTCGGGTTTTCGATGGAATCCTTTTCCCTTCGCTTTGTTCCCTATCATTATTTCCTTTCCTGGGGGGGGGGCAGTAAGAAACAGCTGTTCTGTTTTTGTTTTTCTCTCTTCCTCAGGACTCTGGAGGCAGAAGTTGGGGGGCAGCCTCCCTGAGGAGGGGAATGGTGGGGCACCCACAGAGGAAGGCCCCACCTGGCCTCTGGCTGTGGCCTGGCCCCCCCAAGGCGACGGCTTCCCCTCAGGCAGGGCTAGGAGCCGGGGCATCCCAGGTCTACCCTCTTGGGACCCCCGCCAGACCCTCTCCTCCCTCCTTCCTTTTTCCATGGGGAGCTCTGCCCCCCTTCTACTTCTGAAATAGGGCCAGCCAGGCTCCCTGTCCTGCCATGAGGCTTCTTTCAGAAAGGCCCTCCGACCTGTCCTTCGGGTTTTCGATGGAATCCTTTTCCCGAGAAGAACCCTCTTCCTAGTTTTGTCCCAAGGCTAAAAGTTTTTAAAACTTGGTCGGCAATCATGTCTTGTCAGGAAAGGCCGGAGCCTGGTGCCAGTTTGATTATGCCTTATGAATTAAAATAGATCTGTTTCTCCATACTGGCACGTTGAGACAAAGAAGTCAATCTGAGCTATTAAGAAATGGCTCTAATACTGCCTTCACTCCCGTCATCGCTGCTGCTCTGTAAAGTCAAAATAATGGTGGATTTTCTCCACTTTCTGTGACGTTTGTTTAAACAAGCAAATGAACCTCATCATCTCACTTCTCTGCCCCACACAGTGCTTCTGGTTTGTAACCGTGTCAGTCCGTGGAAGAGAGTTTTTGTTCTTGAATCTGAAACCTTTAGAACAAAACACTTTAGGACAAAAATATGCATGCATGCATACAGATACAGATACAGATATAGATATAGATATATAGATAGGTATTCAGAACCCTGCTACTAATGGTCAGCTCCTTGATGGAATATTACTGCTAAAAGTGCAATATGGGGGAGAGAAATCGAGAAGAAATCCCTGCTAAGGACAGAAGGAGGCAGCATTTCCTAAGAAATTAAGCCTCTTCCTGTCTGTATAAAGTGGATTTGGGCTCTGTTCGTAGGAATTTGGTTTAGAAGGAAGCAGGTGGAAGTCCGAAGCAAAAACTGTCTTCTGATATACCTTTCGGAAAGAAAAACCCAAAGCGAAGCTATGATTGGCTGAAATTGTTTTTCAAAACGTGATGGTCACTTTCTGCTCTTAACCCAGACGCCCCCAAAAAGTTTTAGTTTCAGTTTCCCATCAGGGTAAGCTGATTCGGGGTGGCAGGTTGATTGGACACTGCCAATTGTAATCAGTCACTTTGTGCCTTACAGGTACGGTGGGGTTGCTGCCTGGCCAGGTCATCCCACACCTTGAAAGAACAGTTTAGGGAAAGGCAGGAAGCTTCAGAACCAAAGGGGAAGGGGAAGTAAAAACGGTTTCACGCCTAACCTGCCACTATTTTGATCATAGGCTACTGTGAGGTATTGAATAATGTGCACAGAGTTAGGGCCAGTTAGCGCCTACAATTTCGAACCCTGTTGCATTTATTATCCTGTGCTTATTTTATTTTCCCCCTTTTTTTCAAAAGGGAAGCAGAAAAATCCATGTGTGAATTCTTTTGTTGGCAAGTAACCCCGTACAGCTTACTACAGAACTACAGTCGTTTTGGACGCTGAGCCATAAGGTGAGGGTTTTGTTGCTGTTGTTGTTTGTTTTCATTTTATGGATGTGGTCAAGTGCCCCTGACAGGCGCTTTCAAGGCCCCAAACTCCCAGCTCTCTCTGATTCTTAATTTTTATTTCAGTCAAGACTCTTTTCCCAGTCGAGATCATCTCACAAGGTGGGTGGCCCCCTTGTAAGAGAACACACGGTTGAGCTCAAGCGATGTGTCCTTATAGAGAGTTTCTTGATTTACTTGTTTGTTTATTTAAAATATTAGGATTTGGCAACAGTCTCTCCCTCCTTGCCTTCTGCATTCTTCAAGGCTGTGCTATAGGAAATCTGTTGGGGGCTGCAACCCCCAAGGAATCCCGTTATTGGCTTAGGGACCAGCATCGGTTTTCCGTGTACTTTGCCCGGCTAGGCGCTTCTCCCTTTTGTTCTCTGGCGCTCAGGGCTAGAGGACACGCGGCTGCCCAAGCCGCCTGGCCTTCTGCCGGCGGCTCATTCCCTACCTTTGCATTGGGGCAGCTGCCCCCGAACTGTCTCTAAAGCTGTTCCTCAGATCATCGGGTGGGGATTATTGGTGAGAGCTCAGAGGGGTGGGTCCCAGAGGCCGGGCAGGACGGGGTGGGAAGAGCGCTTGGCAGGCGTTGTGGCTTCGCACTAGCTCTGACGCTGCCTTTTTGCCACATTGGGCTTTGAGGGGCTGGCAACTGGCATGACTTTGTTTTGCTTTGGTGTCGCCTCTTTTCTGGGCAAGCCCTGTTGTCCATCTATTTATTAGTTTCATTCCTTTCCTTCCGAAACAGAGACCGAAGGGGGCTTCCAACGTATTTCGGAAGAGCAGGTTGTAATAAATTACTGTGTTAAAAAAGCAGCCAAACGTGTCATATTAAGCGAACCTCTCAATAAAAACAGTTTAAAGCAATTTGAAAGATTCTCTCTCTCTCTCTCTCTCTCCTTAAAGCAATTTGAAAGATTCTCTCACTCTCTCTCTCTCTGCTTTTTCTCCTTTCCAGAGCTTGCAAAAATTCCCCTCTTTTTCTGGTGTGTGTGTGCGCGACAGGAATTCCCAGAACCCTCCAGTTGGTATGGCTTTTGGGAGTTGTAGGAGTTGCAACCCCCCCTCCCTCCCCAAAAGGCTCTTGCTCCCCCTGTCCGTACCTCTGCCTGTGACATCCTGGTGGCCTGATTTGCCTGCCTGGAGTTACTGGTGTGTGTTGGGAACGGGCTGAAGGCGTGCGTGTTCCTTTGGAGCCCCCTCCCCTTTGAGTCCCAGATGTTAAACATTTTGGGCCAAGCATTCGAAAACGACAATCTCTCCCTCTCCCTCTCTCTCTCTCTCTCTCTCTCTCGTTTTTTTGGGTGAGCAGCCAATTAGCACCAGGACGGAAAGGATGGGGTGATGACTCTACCGTTTGGCAGGCGCCCCAGGTTGGGGTGCCCTGGTGTTTTCTGAACTCTGCTGTTGCCCCTGAGAATAGGAAATGGATCACATATGTGATGCCGCGCCAAGTGTGGGGTTGGCTGGGAAGCTGAGAAGGGGGCTCTGTCTGCTGCGCTCTGCTAGGTTGGACGGTCTGGAGTTGGGAGCTGAGCGGCGGGAGGGGG